CACTGGTTGGTTGATGTGTTACGACAGTCTGAATCCTGCTGGGTTGTTTCTGTGAGCTGGCAGCTAATGCTAATTTATTCAGAAAATACTTTACAAACAGACTAGCTGCACCAACATATACAACACAAACCATAATGATTCTAGAGAAGAATCAAAACCAAGCAGGAAAACGAAACCCTACAAAAGTACAGATAATAAATCGAGTTTGAAGTTCTAATCAAGTCTTTAACAGCACCTTAAATAATCTAATACAATAAATATTTTATGGAGGTAAATTATCCCATCAATCAGGAGCAGAAACTGTAACAGTTAGTTCTGGGAACATCTAAAAGCATCTGCGTGTTGGGTTCATGTTCCAGATAAAGAAAAGTGTTTGAAAAGATCCAAGAGGGAAGATTGAAGCAGACTATAAAGAGTCTTAAAAACTCAGAATAAAGTCTTAAAATCCATCCTGTTGAGACAGGAAGCCACTGAAGTGAAGCCAACATGGCTGATCTGCTAAGTTCCTGTTCCTGTTGAAGTGGAGCTGCAGCTTTCTGGACTGATCTTTGTCTTGATTAGAAGGAACTTTCCTTATTTTTCCTTCCTTCCATTTTTTTAATTTAGGAGATCAGAGACCAGAGATCAGAGACCAGAGACCAGAGATCAGAGACCAGAGATCAGAGACCAGAGACCAGAGACCAGAGACCAGAGATCAGAGACCAGAGACCAGAGACCAGAGACCAGAGATCAGAGACCAGAGACCAGAGATCAGAGACCAGAGACCAGAGATCAGAGACCAGAGACCAGAGACCAGAGACCAGAGACCAGAGATCAGAGACCAGAGACCAGAGACCAGAGACCAGAGACCAGAGACCAGAGATCAGAGACCAGAGACCAGAGACCAGAGACCAGAGACCAGAGACCAGAGATCAGCCAATACTTGGATAAGATCATCTTCTCATCTACGTCCACAAAGGTCCAAAAATCACTGTCTCCTTCTGCTCTGCTGAGAACTACCTCATGTCCAGTTCACACAAGTTTGTATTGTTTCAGGGTTTTACTCAATGTTTTTCAATAAAAAAAAATACTAAGATTGGAACATTGAAGGTGTATTGTGACCTTATAACACCTGACAGTGTCAGCCAGTATCTGAATCAGCAGATCAGACTTTTTAAAGATTGTTGACTAGTCACAACAGTTATAGTTAGGGTTGGGCGATAAATAGATTAATTCGAATTTGTCATTTATAAAGATAGAATTTTTGGGAAAATCAAGATTTTTTTCCCACCATTGTACTCTTTGGGGATTCTGTGGTTCAGAGGTCAAGACGCTTGGTACAAAACATGACAATATGGCAGCTAGCAAAGAGGATCTACTTCTCAAAAAAGGCATTGTTTCTTCAGTTATCTGGAACTGGTTAGCTTTCACAACCTTGCACTTGGAGCAACAAACACCTCACTGCAAAATCTGTTTGAAGGCTCTTGCTGCAAAAAGCAGGAGTACAACAAATTTGTTTCAACACCAGAAACAGAGGCACTCTGTTAAGTGGGAAATAAATCGATTAAAATCGAACATCGAATTTGGGATGAAAAAAAATCTGAGATTTTTTGGGGGCCATATCGCCCAGCCCTAGTTATAGTTATAACAGTTTTAATAACCTAAATGTAGGCATTATTGTTCCAGAATCTTTGCAAGAGAAGCAAGGTTTTACTTTAATAAAAACCAGACAGTATCAGACAGAAGTGACAACCCTCTCTTACTTAAAGAGCTGTCAGATTTTGGACAGAGGAAGACGGTGAAGCTTGAGRACCAAGAAGATTATCAGGGTTTTCTGATCCAGTCTTCTCAGCCTCAATCTGCTGCAGGCAGGAAGTGAAAACACGTCTCAGTTTGAACCTCAGACTCGTGTCCATCTGAAGCACAGTTAGTTCTGACAGCTACAGTGGGCTGTTCCTCCCACAGTCCAAAAACACGCTGGTTATGTTTGTTGGTGACTCAGGACCTACAGTGAGAGGTGGGTCTGTGATGGACTGGTGGTCTATCCTGTACAGGGGTGGACCTACAGGTCCTGCAGAACCACCCATTAGTAAAACATGGCAGACAGCGGCTATCAGGATTACCCCCCACCCCCCCCGGTCCAGGGTGTACCCCGTCTCTTGGCCAATGGCAGCTGGAGATGGGCACCAGCTCCCCCACCYCTGATGAACAGAATCTACTGTGAGAAACAAGGCATCAGGACTTTGTTTCTGTTACATGAACATGTTTATTGTGTCCACTTTATAAAAAAGTTCCTTGATAGATTAGAAACATGCCCTCAGTTAGAGCAGGGAGGTCTACGGTTCATACAGAAACAGAACAGAAACAGTTCGTACAGAAAATATGAACTTTCTGAATGCTGGTTTAAACAGTCTGAACATGTTCAGACCGGTGTGTCAGTGAACAGTTTCAGGGGGACACTTCACCCGACAGCACTGCTGAACCTGCCTGCAGGAAGCAGCAGCCCACAGGGATCGCTAGAGTCATGTAGGAGCAATCAACCTATCAACCAATAACCTGTAGTGGTTTTTTTCACGTGGCAGGGCTCTAGACCCAGGGCTGGGCAGTCCGGGTCCCCGAGGGCTGCAGCCTTCATGTTTGACTTGTTCCTCTGCTCCACAAGGCTGCTGCACAACTTGGAATGACTGAATCAGGTGTGTGGGTTTTATAAGGAGGGTGGGCCTTTTTGTGTCTGCGACCCGTCCCGTCCTTCACGACTGTACCTGCCTGCCCTCACTGAGGATGTGACGTAGGCCCAGAATGTGCCACTAATGTCTCCAACCAGAGAAGGAAGAAAAGACAGAGGTACAGGAACAGAAAAAAGTCAAGAAATRGTTTCTTTGCAGAAAGTAACTTCAGCTGACCGCAGTTTACTGATGGTTTATATTTTTCAACATCAGCCTGTGATGGAGAACACATCATCCAATAATCTGACCTATGCTCTAACAGTTAAGCATACAGTGGTATAAGATTGTATTATTCCACCCAGCACTACCTGCTTAAACTCAGCTGATTCAAACGGTTCAACAGTTGAACATGAGTTGTGCAGAAACCTGTTCACCTCACTGATTAGGGTCTGGTTTGCTGAAAGAGGAAGCCATGAAGGCAGGGCAGTGTCCCCTGAGGACCAGGGCAGAAAAACACGTTTCCAACCCATGATGAGGACAAAGCTGTTCAGCTGACAGCTAGACACAGGCCTTCTATTCTGCATGACATCAGCTGCCATGTCCCAGCACCTCCGCATGACATTTTTATGGTAAGCAGCCTCGCGTGGTGAACATGAGCAGACTTTAGCTCGGAGTTATCCTCCTGCATGGAGCTGGATTTCCCACATATAACAATGCCTGGCCACTCCGCTCGATCACAGGGCGAGTGAACGCAGCACCAGCAGCACATCAGGGGGGTCAGCAGGAGCTACAGATGTGCACCAAGATCAGCTCTATGGAGCAGCTTGTAGTGAACACAACCACTGAAGCTTCACACTTCATCACAGCATCTCTTGGTTTCCAATGGATAAATTAAAGCTAGTTTTTGAGACGAAAATTTCCATTTCCTCCTCATTTCATCACTTAACAATCTCAGTGTCAATCTTAGTTTTTCCAAGCTCTATCCACTGCACTTTTAAAAGTTGCCTTCTATTTATTTATTTACTTATTTATTTGTTGTCTCATTCCTGGTGTTTGTATGTGAGCGCCTCTGAAACCAGACTGAACTCATTTAATTTAAAAAATGAAAGCTCTTCTGAGATTCCAGATTAAACTCAGATAATATTCATAAATACAGGACCAACAAGTCAGCTTCACACAAAACAAAGCTCACGTGCACGAATTAAGGCGACTAATTGAATAAGTGTCGTGCACGCGCTGGCTGGCAGCTGTGCATCACTTCCACACACCTACGCAC